AAAGTTGTCTATCACCATATTTACATCAACCGGTTGTCTAGCAAACGCAAATTTTGTTTTTAACATACGAAGAACGAAATATTTTAGATTGAAATATTTTATTTGTTTTGAAATGGTACAGAATATCCGTACCTCCGGAAGTGCATGTGGGTTTTGCACTCCTCTCCGAGCTGAATAATTATTTTGCCGACTTTTTGTTGTCCTTGCAAATGGACGCCGAAGGTCACCAATTCGACTTGGAGCACGTTATAATCTTCAGAACAACCACTGACACCAACCTTCCAGTTGCATATTGTCGAGGATATCAAACCTTTAAGAATAGAGCAGCAAAATTACACAAACAAACTGCACAGCTACATGGTTGGCGGCATCCGGTTTCGGATTTGCCTGTCACTGTGGTCAGCCACAGGACGCATTCGCCTACAGAGGGACCATGGATGGCTTGCGCTGCACCACACACAGCTCCATCTACACACTCCATGTCCAGTGTAAACCCGAAGGAATAAGACCGGGAGGCATGCGGATGGGAGCCACGTTTCATCAACAGAGCCGGCCCACACTCCTTCACAGACAAACACAAGCACACGGTATTTGGGAAATCAATCGCACACAAGGCGGTGGCTGGACCGTAGTCCGCTCCACACTGACTGCATGGAACCACTCTTCGAGCCTAGCACGGCCACAAGGACCGTGCACCCCGTCCCCTCCAGCAACGACCAACTGTCTCCTGGAGCCAGTACGGACGAGGTAGTGGGTAATAAACAGGTAGGCACCTTGTCAACATGCACATCAAGCGCAGTCACACCGGATTTATCAAACAACAGCCAATCACTTGAGAGAAAGACAAAGAAAATAACTCGATTAATGCATAAGAAAACGGTAATATAAACCTTAAGTTAATGAGCATATGAAATAAGTTGTTTACAAACGAATCCTAGATAAGTTCACCAGGTCAGAAAGTATACTTTACGGAATGCCACGAAAACAAAAAGGTTATGGAAATCGAATACAATTGGCTTAAGCGAGGTGTGCAAGTTAATGGAATAGAGTACAGGTAGACATTTATATAAGAAAGAAAAGCATTTAGGCAAAATTGAAAACCCACCACCTGAAATAAAGAGACTTAGCGTACAAGCACGCGGTCTGTATATCGAATGCAGCGTACCTACAAATGCTGCGCCGGTTCTGAGTACTTCTCTGCAGAACCCGTCGTCGCTTCTGTAGTGATCCCGAGTGGCCTCACTCATGGCTCACTAGACTTTTATATGAGAAAGAATGCAATAGGACAAAACACACACAATTACATACTTACCTACTCCTTACACAAACATACACTATTTTGGCAAACATATCGAATTTTTGTACATTTGTGATCATGCAGCTTTATGTCAAAATGACCATGCCTGTACAGGCGCGCCTCGCCTTGTCGAAAATAAAAGCTTTATTTATTTATTAGAATAGCTGGCTATTTTAGCAGCTGCAACGCATTTGCTTACCACCGGGCACTGAGTCAAGCCTGATTATTCTTTCATAGTGCCACTGCCTGATCGGCGACTTTAAATTATTAAACTACTGGAGACCATGGTTATCGGTCGCGAAAGACTGTCGCTGTGTATTTAAAAATATGATGGTGGCTTTAAACCTACCCTGGTAATAATAGCGCTTGGATATTCAAGATCATATTATAACATACAGACAAGGGAGAAGTCCAGGGATTGAGACGGAACGTCTATTACGCAACACGTAGGCTCTATAAGAAAGGATCAGTAACATAGGAAGGGGTGAAAGAAAAGTTACAGTCAACTGTTCTCTTCAGGTTTTTGTCCTTCTTCAATAATTGCGCAGGAGTGTCCTTCTGAAAGGCAGACGGAAAAGGTGCCGTCAGAGCAACGATTTAAATTCAACCACGCGCCAAACTAGTTTCGATCACTCTTTACACCGCACCCCTTCTATGTAGGCAACGTCCCCGTTGCCACACCAAAGCCCCCTTGAGCTGGTACTTCAACTTCGGTGGCTACTTCTGTCGGTGGCTCATTGTGGTGCTCCTCATCCGAATGCTCAGGTTCGATATGGAAAGGTTTAAGCCGATTAAAGTGTACGACCATGTGCGGCCCGACGGCGTTCTTTGGGTCCCTAATCACACAAGTTAGATCAGATATTATTCGGTCTACCACGTAGGGGCCAGCCCACTCACGATGCAGCTTCGCTGGTATTCCGGATACCGGTGCCTGATGCAAATATACGAGGTCGCCTGCTTTCAACGGGACACCGAAGACCTTCTTGTCGTAGTATTCCTTCTGTCGCCGTTGAGCGTTCGCCAAGTGAATGCGTGCTGCTTCGTGTGTGCGTCGAACGGAGTCAAGGAGCTTACTGACGTATTCAGCGACCGACGGGTACACCTGTTGTGATCTCGGTAATCGGACATCCGAGGGCAACCGAACTTCTCTACCCGTCCACATAAACGACGGCGTTTGTCCGGTAGAAGAGTGGACCGTACTGCGATAGGCCAATAAGCATTTAGGCAACAACGTGTCCCACTCGTAAATGTTCTGGTCCACGAACGCCTTCAAGAGTGACTTCAACGACCGATTCGTACGTTCAACCTGTCCGTTCCCTTGTGGATGGTAGGCCGTTGTTCGCGTTTTATCGATACCAAGTGCTCTGCACATCTCCTGGACCAGTGAGCTTTCGAAACATGATCCCCTATCGGAATGCAATTGCCCAGGCGCTCCCCATTGGCAAACCCAGTGGTTAGTCATCGCTGTTGCCACAGTGAGAGTATCAGCCTGCGCGATTGGCACGGCTTCGCACCATTTGGTGAAGTAGTCTACCATGACTAGAATGTAGCGATTCCCTCTCGGCGTTTCCGGTAGTGGACCAACGAGGTCTACTCCAACTATTTCGTTCGGGTAACCTGCTGTCATGGATTGTAATGGCGCCCTATGGGCAATAGGCGGATTTTTGAACGTCGCGCATCTTTCGCAAGTTTGGCAGAAGTTGACAATGTCTCTTCGTTGATGCGGCCACCAAAATCGTCGACGCGCCGCCGATTCGAGTTTATTGATTCCAGCGTGTCCCAGCTGTTGGTGCAGTTCCGACAGCACTTCCGTAACTAACGCCTGTGGAACTACGATCCTCCTCAGGTACGTGGGGCCGAAATCGAAGACCAACACACCCTCTTCGATGGCGAGTTTATCCCACATCGCCCACAAGCACCGAGCTTCGTAGCTTTTCCCTTCCATTTCTTTCGGGGCTGGTTTGTCCCTTCCCGAGCGCCGCTCGTGGTAGATAAGTGATATGTCTGGGTCCGAAGCCTGTGCTTCTTGCCAACGACCATACTCGGCTTTTTGTAGGTTGACTAGCGCTACGTGTTGCGTAATGCAGGAAGGACAATTTCCGTGATCTCGAGAAGGAATCCTCGATAGCGCGTCCGCGTTGCCGTGTAGTTTCCCAGGCCGATGGTGACATTCGAACTCATACTCCTGTAGCTGCTCCTGCCATCGAGCAATCTGCCCCTCAGGGTCCCTGAAGTTCTGCAACCACCTGAGTGATTGGTGATCAGTCCGTACTACGAATTTTCTTCCTAAAAGGTAGTGCCGATTTTGTTTTATGAAAAACACCAACGCCAACATTTCTTTCCTTGTCGTACAGTAATTTCTTTCTCTTGACGTAAGGCTTCTACTACTGTATGAAACCACTCTCTCTATGCCATCCCGCCCTTTTTGTGACAAAACCGCTCCAATGGCCTGATCGCTGGCATCCGTGTCCAAAATAAACTCCCCAGCGTGTGGTGACAAGTCGGGGAAGATTAACATCGGGGCGGTACACAGAGACTCACGCAATCGATCGAAGCCCGTTTGACATTCGACAGTCCAATCGAAATTGCGATTATTCTGCAACAACGCGTTTAAAGGGGCTGCGACTTCCGAGAACCCTTTTATGAATCGACGGTAGTATGACGCCAGTCCTAAGAAACTGCGTAACTCCTCGGCATTAGTAGGGATTGGCCACGCCTTTACCTGATCTGTCTTGCGCGGATCTGTCCGGATGCCTGCCCTAGAGATGATGTGTCCGAGATAGGTAACTTCTTCTTGTAGTAAGCGACATTTTTTGGTTGGAGTTTCAAACCTACATTGATTAGACACGTTAACACTTCAGCTAGATTGCTTAGATGTTCCTCCTTCGTTCTCCCATGTACGATGACATCGTCCAGATAGACGAGACACTTGTGAGGAATTAAATCGTGAAGCACTTTCTGCATAAGGCGTTGAAACGTTGCAGGAGCGTTTGATAGGCCGAAAGGCATTGTTTGAAACTCATAAAGGCCTGAAGGGACTACAAAGGCTGTCTTCGCTCGATCACTCTCTTCAACCTCCACTTGCCAATAACCAGACACCAAATCTAGCGTGCTGAAATAAGCTGATCCTCCGAGCGCGTCGAAAAGGTCATCAATTCTGGGCAGTGGGTATGCATCTTTCCGCGTGACTTCGTTTAGCCGCCTATAATCAACACACAGCCTAAAACCACCGTCTTTCTTCTTTACCAAGACGACTGGGGCTGCCCATGGAGAAGTAGAGGGTCGTATAACTTCCTTTTTCAACATCTCGCCTATGAGCTTTTGCAGCTCGCCTTGCCAGTGCACTGGGATCCGTCTTGGGTGAGTCTTAATCGGGGTCGTATTCCCCGTGTCGATTAGGTGTTTCACGACGCTGGTGCGGCCCAGGTCTCCAGTCTGCCAGGCGAATGCATCAGAGTGGGCTAGCAGCACTTCTTTGAGCTTTCCCAACGTTCGCTCGTCCGTTGGCAATTCGAGAGAGCGGATAAACGTGTCTACCCGGTGTTCCTCGTCAGAGGAGCTCCCACAAATCGTAAACGTTTCAAGACTGTCGGCCTGGCCTTGTCTGAGCAATACAACGCAACTTTCGGTGATCAACTGGCATTTGTCTAGATCTAAGTGACATCTCAGACGCCTCAATAAATCCATTCCAATGATTACCGAAAATGGGATGTTATCAGCGACAATAAACTCGTGGCGGAACTTCTCATTAGCAATGTGTACCTGAGCAGTGATAGATTCCCGAACAGACAGGGGTTCCCCATTAGCAGCGGTCAGACGATAGCGGCATGGTGTCCACACACAATCTGTCAGAGATTTGGTTATGTTAGCTCGGACTAAGCTCCTGCATGCCCCTGTGTCAATTAGACCTACCAGTGGCACTCCTGCTATGATTAGCTCTACCGTTAATGAGAATGCGGACGTTGTACATGTGACAGCGGGAATGAAAACTGACTTCACATGGTCGCACTCACCTTGACGATTTCGGCTGCCACGGCTTGGCGGGGAATTTCTTCTTCTTGGTGGGGGAGGACGGGGCCTTCGAAAGTTCGATTGTACTGGACGTCGCGAGTAATCCCATTGATACGGAAAGCGATTCCAATTTCTTCGTTCTGGTGGCTGGAAGCTAGTGGGACTGTATCGCTTCAGCGCGCAACATGGTTCCATGGGGCCCATGGACGCGTCCACTTGCTCTAGTTGATCTGACACTGTTAGGGCTGCCTGAAGACATGTAGGGCGTCGTAAACGAAACTCCCTTTTTACCGAGGGAGTTTGGATGCCCTCGAGCAACTGCTCTAAAACGCGCTCGTCCTGTTGTTCTTGCGTTTCATCTGCGTAGGCAGTTACGGCCATCCTCCGAAGTTCGCGAACGAATGTTTCTACGTTTTCTCCCGGTCTTTGATACCGGGCATGGAAAACTTTGCGCAGTTCGTCGGGCAGGCCGGGCCGATCTAAGATACGGCGAAGAGCAGCGAACGTTTCCATGGTGATTTCTCCATCCAACACTTTACTATCCATAACTTTGTCAAATGCCTCGCCTGCTAGTAGGCCCATGATAACAGTACCGCGTTGTTGGGCTGGAAAGTGCTTGATGTACATCTGCACTTGTTTCTCCCATCGGAGATAGGGCGTGCCTGGTAAAAATTTTTCCGGAGGGGGTAACGGGGGTGTGGAAGGAGCGGGTGTCAGGTTTGTTGTCATCTTCTGCATGGCGTCCGACAAGGATTCCAAAGCAAAAGCAATCCTTACCCCCGGATCGGAGGTCAGCGGCCGAATTTCTTCATCGGATGGTTTACCTGGCTTTGCCATTATTTCTTGATCCTGGCAGGGTCGCCAATTATAACATACAGACAAGGGAGAAGTCCAGGGATTGAGACGGAACGTCTATTACGCAACACGTAGGCTCTATAAGAAAGGATCAGTAACATAGGAAGGGGTGAAAGAAAAGTTACAGTCAACTGTTCTCTTCAGGTTTTGTCCTTCTTCAATAATTGCGCAGGAGTGTCCTTCTGAAAGGCAGACGGAAAAGGTGCCGTCAGAAACGATTTAAATTCAACCACGCGCCAAACTAGTTTCGATCACTCTTTACAATATTTCACAGTTTGTTTGTTCATCTATCAAGGTTACATAGTTTGTAATCGATAAGAACGAACAAAATGGAGCAGTCCTCTAAAAACCTACTTCTTGCGACTTAGCTGCTTGAAATTATAATATGAGTTTATAGTCTCAAATTCCTAAGATAAGATTGGGGGTAGCAGGGTTTCGGTGTGGCTCTCTCCTTTTCCTGCACTCCAGGACCGACGGTTTCGTCTTTGTTTAGACTCATTAGATGGAGATAGCTGAGCTAGGAGTGGAACTCGGGGCATAGTGCTTGGCGGCTGTCGCCATGATCACTAGGCCATTGAGTTCCGCTAGCAGTGTTTGAAGTCTGGTGGTTCCATTAACTCTCAAAATGACAGTCGAATGTACTCTAGTTTACTCACTGATTTCCTGAACAAATTATTGGCAAATTGTTTATTGTGTCCGGTAAAGTCTTTGAAACCTTTCAGAGCCGGGTGAGGCTTAATAATGTCAAATTTTAGCAAAATTTCCAGTAGAATAGGGATGTTGCTTGTAGATTATTAGTAGGAGGGGTTTTAAGCCGCACATCCCTGTAGTAGCTCCGAAATCTTGTAAGTCAGGTATTTGATTCATTTCTGACTTTAGAAGGTTACCACGTCGCCATAACTACAAAAGAACACTTATTCTATGAGCACATTTTGACTATTTATGGTCACCTCAGTCCAGCTGATTCGGTGAACTTCCAATGGTCAACCGCGGCTGCCAAACAGTATGCGACTGCATGAAAAAGGCATATAAATTAATGCCGTGCAAAAATATACAATTATTCTTTTTGCCAATGTAATGCCACTGAGTCAGTACAAGTGTTTTAAATAAAAGTACCGTTTCTCTCCTTATCAGCGTAATAAAACATATGGGCTAACTGAACAGGAAAGTGGCCTATGAGAAGGCCAAAACTTGATGTGGTCCAGTTTAATTTTCAGGAGGGAATGCCACCGTTTCACAAGCCATTCTGTAGGCGTTCTATACCTGGCTAGCTTGAGTCCGATCACACAGTTGCGCTCCTTTAGCTAATTTTGTAATTGGTAACATACGCGCTTCTCCAGAAGGTCTTAAAAATATGCGTCTAAATAGGACAGGTACGTGCCCCTTGAGACGTATAAAAATTGATTTTCTCCAGTTTCCAGTGCATGAATCAAAAAGCTCCTCCGGAGACCAGTCAGAAGGCTGAGTAATTATCCGCAAATACCACATCGCACCATACCCCTAAACTTTCGGTGTACGTTCTTCTTTTTGAGATAAACGTTCTTCTAGCGTTTTAAACCGAAATTTCGGTTGCAGAGAACCCAAGTATACTGATGTCTTGAGCTCGGTACTTTCCACAGAAATGGTGTCCTATAGGATGGTTGTGTTGTGGAGCGAATGCACAGTATTTTGGTCAACCAAAGGTTTCCTCAAATCTGTATCTGTTACTTGGTCTGCTCGAACGGACGGTAATTATCAGTTTCGCAATATGATATTGAGATGCAAAATCGATTGACATTTCGTTACGCTTGCCCTTTGCACTTTTGCAGTGTGATTAAGTGCTTTCACTGAGGTGGTTAGAAGCTGGTGTTTAGCAACCGGGTGGAGATGTTTAGCTGAAAGCTAGAAATATGTTCACCACCGTATATTAGGACAGCTGAAAGAGTACCATCTAGGCCTGGCTGCGCCGAGCGTTTTACGAATGTGTTAGCGTTCTATACCTCTGTTTACGTCACCAGCGCATTGCAGAGCAGCTGCCTCGCTCTTCTGGGGAGTAAGGGTTGGGACGAGTGGGACGAGTGGACTCAATGATAAAGGAGGAGGTTAACTAAAAATTAAACAACACTCATAAACCAAATCTATCGAGCGTTTTTGGACCATCGTTTACTAAATAAACGAATGAACGTATATTTCTAGCCTGTTGTTAGATGCCGTGCAAGCGTGGGCTGAAACCAATATGTACACAAATTCCATGAGCTTGTATGGAGTGTGGAAATAAATAAATAGTTTGTTCTTGCGTGCATCAAAGTACGCCAATTCAGTCATGCTCAAAAATGTTGAATTTGAGCAACTTGTTAGCACGAGTTTATCGGTTGTGAGTTTATTCAGCGGCGAGTCATCTCCGCCAGGTCGCAGTGTCGATAAGCAGACAGTTGTGGCTTTTTATATGGAGAACGCTTGCCAGACGAACACCCACCAATTCCTGGGGTGCTTCCGTCCGTGATGTAGAACTGGCACTGCTTCCGATTGACCAATCATGCACTCGGTTATACACAGTCGTATTAAGGCCAATGCAATGTTTCAATCGTTTGATGCGGATTGTGATTTCTGGTCATAAATAGACATGTCAGTAACCTTGAGGTTGCAGGATTTTTAAGCGCATGTATTTCGTCTGTGACTTGAACACTGCTTCAGCCGTTATTGCTTTACTGTAGCTTAATATATGCACGGTTGCGTAGATAAAAGGTTGGCACTTTGAGAACATGTCCTAAGTTACTTCAGTCAGCTTTTGGCCTTGTTCAGTTGTGCATGTTTGCCCCACTGCTTATAGGTGCGACTTTTTACCACAGCTACTAGTACCTAAGTACACATAGAGCAATGTGGTTGATGAATTCATCAACTGTCATAGTCTGGTTGTTAATTCAGAATGATGATTCCCAATTCATAGTGTGGATAAGTGCCTGAACAGCATTTCAAACAATTCGGTTAATGTTACAAGTAAGTGTTTAAATTTGTATTTAGTGCATAGTTCGTTTAATGTTCACTTTACGAAATGCCATGTTGTGATCGCAGCACAGCAGTGGACTGTCATTAAGTGGGCAAGCGTAAGGCTTCTCATAGTGAATAGCAAATCTTGGGTATTGACATTTCTAGCCTGTCGACTGGCATGTGTGATGCAGCCATTGAAGTGGACACAGTACACCAATTCGTTTAGTCTCTTTTCTGCCGCGGGTCCAGGTAGTAGACAGTTAAGCAGTGGCAGGTTGAAATATTTGCTCATAAGTTTGGGCAAGTAGGTAGCGTTAGAAACTGCGCTGTTGGCATAAATAAGCTGCTAGGTTTCATGGTGGGTTGCTCGTGGAGGTGGGTAGACATAATCAACTGTAAGATGTCAGCAAACTGTAATCCGTTTCGCAAATTAAAGTGTGGAACCCAGTGAAATTGGTTGACGCATATTGAGATAAGTAATTACCACGGACTTTACAACAACATCATCCAATTTTGTGTGTTTAAAAAGTTCACTTGGAAATTCACACTTGACTAGGCCTGTAGAAAACCATGTTTTGCTTGATTCATTAAGTATCTAGAGACCAACAAACCTACCAGCACGTTTTAACCATTAGTTGTTGTTCTCGAGAGCCGTTGTCTGATTTAACAGAGACAGCCAGTATGTTGGTCTCCTGCGATGGGCACTCAAAAGTTATGGTCCGTCCTTCTTCTCACAGTTGCTAAATGCCTACCTACGTCCTAATTCGAGTATGTCATCCAATCTTGACCAGCCCTGCTAAAGCTCGACCTCAGTGAGTCGAAAGACGAAAGGCAACGAAGGTCGTCAAGGGCTTGTGCCAACTTCTTTACCAGAACGACTTTAGTGACTAGGGTTGCTCGATGGAGATTACAAGAGTTCATTACTGTATACCAAATACTTAGTGGTCACAGGCATGTATGCCGACAAGCTTTGTAGCTTAACCAAAACACTAACTGGAAAAAACAGCTTAAATTAAGGCAATATGGCAGTCGTTTAGACTTTCCACGATGTTGCTTCTCCATCCTAGTTAGCCAACCGCGGAACGCTCTTCCACCTCCAGTCGTTTGTGCACCCATAACTTTCATATTTTAACTGCGGTTGGCTAAGCAGCACGGAGCATTAAACTCTGTTATCCGAACGGATATTCTACACGGTGCCTTCGGGAACTAACGACCTTGTTGGTTGACTCCACGATGATGACGCAAATTACTAAAGGCGAGTGAGAAATCGCATCTATCTTCACTAATAACCGCATGCATCATAATTGAGCTGTGCTAAACAGTGCGCCATCGGTCGCGTTCCTTTGCCCGGCGAACGGTCCCCATGCTTATTGTGTTCAGGCCCGCAGGTTTCAGTGGTCAGGCCGGGTGTTAAGGCGTCCTAGGGCTTAACTGCTTGCTCTTCAATTATGAAAAATATCCGCCATTAATGACCAGCCATCGCTCATAACCACACACTGTGTCTGCCTGTGTGCACAATCCTCTATCTCCCCACCACTGTTTCACGGCACTGAAACGGAAACTAGTACACTATACGGACAAACGCAAACCGCGTTCACTGGATCCTACGCCGTGTTTCCGATTCGAAGCTGTATATTAGAAGCAGAACAGGTGACGCCCTACCAACACACCTAGCAATGAAGTACGAAACAGCAATTCTGTTTATAAAAAAACATGTATCCAAAACGGCATCGTTTATAAAGCTGTCAAGTGTTTAACATGGCAGTTATTACCGGCCACATGTTGTACTATCTGCCGACCGTGCTATTGTGTCACATAGTCGCACGTTTATAATACCACCTGCTCCAAAAATTGTAATCGCTATTCACACTTGCTGAGGACGCTTGGGATGTTTTTATTGCATCTTTGCGTACGTGTTCTTCAGATTGCGCGTTAGGTTTGCCTGTATGACACTCCAAGTGCCGTCGACAGGGTTCAACACCGGGGGGTATGGGACAAGACGCAGAAACCTACCCTAGCCGTACTGTTTTTCTTGGAAAACACCTTCCAGATCTCACAGTTTGGCGCGTATTTGCGCTGCAACAGACACTCCAAGGCAAAAGCTTGGACATTGGCCGCTAGCACTTGCCGTTGTCACTAAGCGCATCTGCGTTAGCTGTAGCTTCCGCTTATAGTGGGGAAATCTATAAGGGGTCGTTTACCATGGTGCCAACAACATGTACATTCTGGACAACGCTAGTAGAGAAGGTAAACTGGGCTCTACTCCCCGTTGCGAACGACCTCCAGTG